AGGGGTTCTGCTTTGTGCTTCACTTTAATTCCACAAATGTGACGAGACGTTCTTCGAAGCAAAACAGTGGTAGGCAAGTTAACGCCAGTACAAGGGAAAAACGTTAGGGACGTATGTGATGTGTTCGTATGTGTGTGTGCTGTGTGTGTGTGTGTGTGTGTGTGTGTGTGTGTAGGCGCGTGTGTGCGTACAGTGGCGTGCATGCGTGTGTTCGTGAACGTGCGCGAGCTGGTGCGTGCGGGTGTTCTGTTGCGCGCGTGTGTATGTGGCGATTGCGTGCGCGGTTGCGAAAGTGCGCGTATGTGTGTGTGCGTCGCGCCGCGTGTATGCATTTCGTGTGCTCGCGTGCGTGCGCGTATGTGTGTGCGCGGTTGCGTGCGTGCATGAGCGTGCCCATGTGTATGTAACTAAAGGGAGGTTAGTCAAAAGTTTGTTGCTAAAATTAGTAATTAACAATTTCTTCACAATATAGTTATGTTATATAGTTGTTATTATATCATGAAACGTTTGATACCCACGTTTTTGTTAAATAATTTAATAATTTTACAAAAAAAGGTTTATAAAATTCTCTAAAACAAGTTTAATAACCAATTTTTTATAACCTACATATGACATTGTTTTAACGTTTAGCGAACGCTGGCAAAACGTTCGTTCCCAACGTTTTCGTTGAAGTATCTTGCAACAATACCAGAAAACTATAGGAACCTACTTATAACCTTATTATTAACGCTTTGAAAACGTTAAAAGAATAATTTCTTTTAAACGAATCAGTATGCACCCAAATCTTAACGTTGCGAAAGCGTTGTGTAATAGCTGGGCAGCATGGTGCGGGAACCAAGGACGTTGTTGGCCCGACCAGACCTATATGTGGATACTATTACATAGGCAATAGCCAACGGCGAACTTCCCACGGTTAACGACCCACAACGCCAACAAAGCGTGGCTTTGTCTACCTATAGGTAAAATAAGTTACCTACGTCCCTGAAGTATATGGCTGTTTCTCATGAATTGCTTTCCTGGTTTTTATGAAAAATTCACTGCATTGCATGCATGAAACCCCAATGCCTTTAAATGAAGAATAACGGCGTGTAGTATTTGAAATTCAGTATTCAGAATTTTGTCATTGACTCACATAAAAATGGCTTATCACGCACAGCGCCATTTGACCCCCCCCCCCCGAGCGCTCTTTGAATCCGTTTCCTCTTGGAAGTATTGGCACGTATGTGCATGTTCGTGTAATTGTTTGTGCGCGTGCGTGCGCATGGCTGTGTCTGCCTGTGTATACGTGCGCGCGTGCGTGCGTGCGCGTGGCTGTGTCTGCCTGTGTACGTTCTCGCGTGCGTGTGTGGGTGCGCGTGGCGGTGTCTGTCTGTGTATGTGCTCGCGTGCGTGCGCGTGGCTGTGTCTGTCTGTGTACATGCTCGCGTGCGTGCGTGGCTGTTTCTGCCTGTGTACGTGCTCGCGTGTGTGTGTGCGTGCGCGTGGCTGAGTCTGTCTGTGTACGTGCTCGCGTGCGTGGTGCGGGGTGACCACCGTTGGGATGATGGCGACAGCAAAACTTTACTGGGAAAATTGGAATTGTGAAAAAAAGGTGCAAAAGAGTTGTAACTCAATTACATAATTTAACCCATGCATCAGGTGCCATTATGTACAGCAGCGCTTGGAAATAATTAATTGGTATACGTGTACTATTGTTAGCACAACAGAGGGGGTGGCTAGCCACCCAATCCACCCGGCCTGGATCCGCTACAGACCCATGCATTCAATCACAAACTGGTTATTGCTCTGAGATAGGTGCTAAGTATTTGTAGTATACTAAAAGTCTTCTTATTATAAGCCTAACAATGGGTGTCAAACTTGAAAGCGGTGAAAGCAACAGTCGAATTGACAATAATGTAGAACAATAACCAACCATGTGCTACGAGTGTGACAGACCTGTGTGCAACTAATGAATGTGAACTCACAAGAACTTATAAGTACTATAACTTATATTAGCCTACTTAGGCTACATATTTCCATATGTCAAAAATCAGCAGCTCTAATCACTTACCGATCAACATGTAGGTAATACTGTCAGGAAGGCAACCGTTTAGTCTTGCTTACATAATTATTACAGAACATCGTATATATACGTATAGTATGCTTAGCCATGAATGAAGTCACTGTACACCCGAATCGTGTTCTCGTATCAGACTTGTGTTGCAAACGCCAATAAAGGTTTCCGCGACTTGCACTAAAAATAGCAATATTACCTACAATCCCGTGCCGTCGGCCATACCGGTTCCAGAAAGAGCGAACATGTGTTACCAATATGTGCAATCTACCGATTTTGCATCGATAGATTGTGCATACGATAGTGTTATTATAGTAATCTATATTAGCAGTAAATGGATACGGTTTTGCAGAAAGGTTTACCAGCGCGTGTTGGGGTGCTAGAGTTCGATATGATTGTGCAGACCCGGTTTTACAGGGTGTTGCAGGCAGCTTTATCAGCGTGGGTTGGGGTGCTAGTCTGCTAGAGTTCAATGAGATCACGCAGGTCCGGTTTTGCAGGGTTTTGCATGCAGGTATATTAGCGTGGGTTGGGATGCTAGAGTTCGACGAGGTTGCCGCACAGTCGGCGGATTGCTAGATTGAGCAGATCGGGAGATTGCACGCAACACAGATGGACTTGAGTTTGTTTACATCGCAAGTGTTCAGAAATTTCACCGATTTCACTGCATATAGCTATCAAACGCAGCTTATTATAATATCAGGTGTATGCACATTTGCCAACTGTCTGAAGTGTACGTAATATGGACAAGTACTTTGATTCACTAGAGAACGTAGCCAAAGCACGCTATCCAGCAGCCGAACTAAGCACCGTGACAGGCTGCGTGCGTCGTAGGTACGGGCATGTGTAGGTAGCTAGCTGGCTGAATGGGCCAGAAGCGCGCTATCTACTGCGTGGCACGTTTGCAACACAAGTCTGATACGAGAACACCATTCGGATGTACAGTGACTTCATTCATGAGTATGCATACGTCGTTCTGTAATAATACGGTATATTTATTTCCATATATATTATGTGCTTGACTTTACAGTCGGAGAGGATCGCGTGATGTTTACAGGATAAAGTTTTAATAATTAGATTTTGAAAAAACAGTGGAAATTTGGACGTAAACAGGCGCGTTTTGCGCTTTACATCAACACAAACTCTTCAATGCAGAGTCACACATTACATTCTCATTCTCTTTGTCTTCACTTTGATTCTACAAATGTGACGAGACGTTCTTCGAAGCAAAACAGTAGTAGCAAGTTTAACGCCAGACAAGGGAAAACCCTTAGGGACGTNGTAAAATAAGTTACCTACGCCCTGAAGTATATGGCTGTTTCTCATAAATTGCTTTCCTGGCTTTTATGAAAAATTCCCTGCATTGCATGAAACCCCAATGCCTTTAAAATGAAGGATAACGGCTTGGAGTAAAAAAATTATTAGAAATTTAGAATTCAGGATTTTGTCATTGACTCACATAAAAATGAGTTATCCTGCACAGCGCCATTTGCCCCCCCCTCCCCGAGCGCTCTCTGAATCCGTCTCCTCTTGGAAGTATTGCCACGTATGTGCGCCTGTGTGCATATTCGTGTTATTGTTTGTGCGCGTGCGTGCGTGCGCATGGCTGTGTCTGCCTGTGTACGTGCACGCGTGCGTGCGTGCGCGTGGCTGTTTTCGCCTGTGTACGTTCTCGCGTGCGTGTGTGGGTGCGTGTGGCGGTGTCTGTCTGTGTATGTGCTCGCGTGCGTGCGCGTGGCTGTGTCTGTCTGTGTACGTGCTCGCGTGCGTGCGTTGGTGTGCGTGGCTGTTTCTGCCTGTGTACGTGCTCGCGTGCGTGCGTGGGTGCGCGTGGCTGCGTCTGCCTGTGTACGTGCTCGCGAGCGTGGTGCGGGGTAACCACCGTTGGGATGATGGCGACAGCAAAACTTTACATTGGAATTGTGAAAAAGCTGCAAAAGAGTTGTAACTCAATTACATAATTTAACCCATGCATCAGGTGCCATTATGTACAGCAGCGCTTGGAAATAATTAATTGGTATACGTGTACAAATATTGTTAGCACAACAGAGAGGGTAGAGCTAGCCACCCAATCCATCCCGGCCTGGATTCGCTACTGAACCATGCATTCAATCACAAATTGGTTATTGCTCTGAAATAGGTGCTAGGTAATTGTAGTATATTAAAAGTCTTGTTATTATAAGCCTAACAATGGGAGTCAAACTTGAAAGCTGTGAAAGCAACAGTCGAATTGACAATAGTGTAGTACAATAACCATATGCTACGAGTGTGACAGACCTTTGTGCGACTAATGAATGTGAACTCACAAGAACTTATAAGTACTATAACGTATATTAGCCTACTTAGGCTACATATCTCCATATGTCAAAAATCATGATGTCGATAAACATGTAGGTAATACTGTCAGGAAGGCAACCGTTTAGTCTTGCTTATCTGTTATAATAGCCTTCTTCTTTAGGCATCTTGCTAGAAGCACTTTCATGCATGCATTTCGTTTACTAACTTTCAAATAATTCAAACCAGAGAGACATGATACAAGATTGCGTGGCACAGCTTTGCTGTTGATCCTGAGCGCTGCGCGCGCATGAGACGCGCAGTTCCGCGGGATATGCGCACGCGACCGCGGGGATGTTCAAGTATGAAGCGCTGTCCGCAGTGGAGACGTGCGCCAAATTCGAGGCCCGGCGCACGTCTAGTTTAAAGTCAAACACATAATATATATGAAAATAAATATACCTAATTATTACAGAACAACGTATATATACGTATAGTATGCTTACCCATGAATGAAGTCACTGTACACCCGAATCGTGTTCTCGTATCAGACTTGTGTTGCAAACGCCAATAAAGGTTTCCGCGACTTGCACTAAAAATAGCAATATCACCTACAATCCCGTGCCGTCGGCCATACCGGTTCCAGAAAGAGCGAACATGTGTTACCAATATGCGCAATCTACCGATTTTGTGCATACGATAGTGTTATTATAGTAATCTATATTAGCAGTAAATGGATCCCGGTTTTGCAGACAGGTTTACCAGCGCGTGTTGGGGTGCTAGAGTTCGATATGATTGTGCAGACCCGGTTTTACAGGGTGTTGCAGGCAGGTTTATCAGCGTGGGTTGGGGTGCTAGTCTGCTAGAGTTCAATGAGATTACGCAGGTCCGGTTTTGCAGGGTTTTGCATGCAGGTATATTAGCGTGGGTTGGGATGCTAGAGTTCGACGAGGTTGCCGCACAGTCGGCGGATTGCTAGATTGAGCAGATCGGGAGATTGCACGCAACACAGATGTACTTGAGTTTGTTTACATCGCAAGTGTTCAGAAATTTCACCGATTTCACTGCATATAGCTATCAAACGCAGCTTATTATAATATCTGGTGTATGCACATTTGCCAACTGTCTGAAGTGTACGTAGTATATTTGATTCACTAGACAACGTAGCCAAAGCACGCTATCCAGCGACCGAACTAAGCACCGTGACAGGCTGCGTGCGTCGTAGGTACGGGCATGTGTAGGTAGCTAGCTGGCTGAATGGGTCAGTAGCGCGCTATCTACTGCGTGGGACGTTTGCAACACAAGTCTGATACGAGAACACCATTCGGATGTACAGTGACTTCATTCATGGGTATGCATACGTCGTTCTGTAATAATCCGGTATATTTATTTTCATATATATTATGTGCTTGACTTTACAGTCGCAGAGGATCGCGTGATTAGATTTTGAAAAAACAGTGGAAATTTGGACGTAAACAGGCGCGTTTTGCGCTTTACATCAACACAAACTCTTCAATGTCACACATTACATTCTCATTCTCTTTGTCTTCACTTTGATTCTACAAATGTGACGAGACGTTCTTCGAAGCAATACAGTGGTATCAAGTTTAACGCCAGACAAGGGAGAAACCTTAGGGACGTATGTGTGTGTTCGTATGTGTATGTGTGTGTGTGTGTGTGTGTGTGTGTGTGTGTGTGTGTGTGTGCGTGTGGGTGT